GGGAAGACGGCCAGACGTTTGGCCACAAAGCAATTGTTCAGTATTAAGGATCAACAAAGCGTGGATTATGACTACAAAAGTCTTAGAGGAACTAATTTACTACGAAAAGAACAGGATTTCGTTCTCCAGGATCCACACTTTCGTTGTCATGGCCTCTCAATTAAAGTTTTTTCTGTGGAAAATTCGCAGTTTTTGTCGCAACATTGCAATTCAAAGTGTCTGAGGCCTCTTCCTCCTTTCTTACGTGACGCATCTGAAGTCTGTGTACATCATCTCGAGGATGGGCCACATGATGCAGTGTAAGCAGTTTTCTGGTTTTCCGATCCATGTTTCGTATGTCTTGTTCAGTCCACTGGTCCGAAACTGTACTCAACTACACCGCCACAGAGTTCGTTCCTCAAAACCAAACCGTGAACGCTACTTACTACGTCGCTTTGCAGGAAAGGCTACGAAAAAGGAGATCGCCGCTCTACCAGGACAATGCTCCAAGCCACACCGCAATACGCGTTTAAGTATCAAGTGAAGCACCAGTTGACAACACTGCCCCAACCTTCCTACAGTCCGGTCATGGCTCCGGCCGACTTCTTTCTCTTTCGGAGGATCCAGACCGCCCTGACAGGAATCCGTTTAGTGATGAGGGCCCTTGCTGAGGTCCCCATTGAAGCCTTTCCGAACGCCCACCTCGCGTGCGAGTATTGCTGGAAAAAGTGTATGGAAACTCAAGGGAACCAGTAGTAGACTTTGTAACAATATCTTCAATCAATATACTGGGTTTTAAAAAAAGTCGCATTACTTTCCGGACACACCTTGTATTTTCTTCCCGGAGTTCAGAGCGGACTGCGGGACAAGTCTCACTCTTCTGTAATACTCCCTGCGAATTCTCTTTCATTGTGTCGTTCGATATGTTCTCCCATTTTTCAGTGTCTCAAGACTTGTACGTTTTACCTGACTCAAGAATTTGAAACAGCGTGCATATCAATGCTCTCTGACATTACTTTGCCTCTCTTTAAATCGACTTATGTACATTTTTCAAGACCAAATTTCATGAAGATAACATTGCTAAAATTACGGATTTGGAAAAGAATCGATTCATTCTTAGTAAACACTTGTAAGATCATGTCCAACATCAGTGCACAACTGTCTTGATAGGAGATTCAAACTAATGCAAAACAGCAGAGGCAATAGTGAGTCTCCTTGAAAAATAGTGTTAATCTGAATACATTTCATCCACTGAGATCAAGCTCCCCAGCCCCGTTACTACATCACTTCTGGTATATGTAAATCTAAAATTGGAGAACTAGGCAATACTAAGGAGCAATAAAGGATATATATCTATAATAAATTTATCTTCTATTTGGAATGTATCTTTATTGCAAGACCAAATCTCTTTTTCTACAATGATTTACAGCACTTAAAGAAAGATTCAAAATTGCAGAAAGTATTTAGCTCACATTTACTTAGCTAATTAAATAAACTTCACTAAAAACATTACCAAAAGAATGCAGATTTTCATGAATGGTCTCTCAAAAGAGTAGATCCTTTTTTTAAAAAAAGTGGAGTGTAGAGCTAATGAAAAATTAATACATTGAATATCAAAATATCTTTCAAGTTATTTGTAATTAGTTTCTTTAGATAAATATCTTCTCATTGCTGAAACTTTTTTACACTAATTACTGCATTATTTTACAACCATCCAGCCACAGTAAAAGTATATATTTCTATCACAAAGCACATATATCACAACAATAACTTTTTTTTAAATAGCAAATATATCTTGATATATAAACAAAAACATACATTTTTGTAAGAAATACTTAATATTCACGTGAGACGAAATAAGATACAATACTCAAATTATAAACATTTGGAAGACACAAGATAAGTCTACAAAAAAATGTATCACAGAAATGATATTGATGTATTGATTACATGTAAATTACTGGAAGTGAAAATATGAGAAAAAAGATGTATTTTCCAACAATATTTTCAGTTATATTTAACAAAATTAGCAATATAAAGTTATCATAGGCATGTGCAACCTGAAACAAGGTGGGCCAATTTCATTTCTGGGTCCCCTTTGAAATTGACCTTTTTGTCCAGTCATTTTTATTAGACAAATTTTACTGAATGAATAAAACATACTACAAGGAGAATGAAACTGTAACATCAGTGATACTATTAGTAACAACTATTGATTTAATAATAAACCATTTACTTGGTTGCTAGATGTCTTAGACTATCTCTCCTTCCTATGTATGAATATAACAATTTCCCAAATTCAGTTAAGAAGGGGGCAAAAGAAGTAATGTATATACATAAAAAGAAAATGATTTTATGTAAGCCTCTGGGGCATCTTTTAAAATTTTTAGAAGCGACCGTGGGTCCCCTGTCTTCCCACACATATATATAAAATGGTGGATAACGTAAGTTTGGTGCATAGCTATACCCACATGAAACATTCCAAGTGAGTAAAATTCCAGAAATTAACAAAGGAATTTGGGGTGAGAGAAATATTCCGAAAACATCAAATTCCAAATATGAATGAACTTTCTCGACTTAAAAGGTATTTGCGATCAACTATATTGAATATCGGCTCAACAGAATTGCGATTTTACATTTTTATTAGTGACGTGCCTGGCAGAATCAATTTGCAAAAATTGTTAAATGAGTTTATATCAGCGCAGTGCTGCTTTTGCATTGGAAAAATTAACAACTGAAGTTACATAAAACAAATGTGATAATAATTTGATGTCACTTTAATGATAAACAACAATTTTTTGGGCCAACTACCCACTCGGGACTTAACATTGTGTGCCGGCCCTGCTTATATATGAAAATTAGACAGCTAATACTTCATAAAAGAGGTTCAATAATAATGCTATGATATATATAGCAGCTAATCATAAGAAAATATAAAAATATATGGCAGGAAAAGTCAACACTACCTATTCTCAAACCACAAAAACTTCTGTATGTTGAGTTTTCAATAAAAACTCATCAATTATTTTCTGCAATTATATAGTCTTGGAATTTATAAACAGTCATAAAGCAATGAGACTAGGAAGGCTTCCTTAAGCTTATCTATGTGGTTGGTTTTAAACGACTATAGAGATATTAACCATGTCCATGAAACTTAAAAGAAACATCCTGCACCATGCAAATAATTCATTCTCTACATAAAACATTCCTGAACAATTTCTTCCTTTCAACCTAAATTAAAATGTCTTCTGTTGTTGATAGTTTTCAAAAAATTCTGTTTCTTATTACAGAATAGAAAACAGAAAACAACCACTATACATATCTTTCAGGTAAAAAAAGAAATATTCATTAATCCACTTTGTCTTCAATATTTAGCTTCTGAAGATCAGAAGATAAATACAACAGCACAATTCTTAGTATTCGGCTTACTTACAGCTTCCCAATTAATGACATGTAGGACAGAAATAGGTCTCAAATTCACCAGTAATAATAATAATATCAAGTGATAAATATATCACAGAAAAGCAAAGTTTTCTTTAAGTCATGCTGCACTCATAAAAATTGGCATGTAAATTTTTGCTCAAATTGAATGAGTCATTACAGTAAGCAGTTACTGTAATTCAGTAGCATGGAAAGCACAAGTAGCAAAAAATAACCATCACATGACTAAAGAGTAGGTAACTCTTAGTCTCTCATTTTACTAATGATAAACCACTTTTAAAAACATAGAAAATAAAATGATAGCCCTAAATTGAGAATTAAAAACATTCATCAAATACGAATGGCACCACTATACAATAGGCTCATTCAAGGGGTGTTTTCATCGGTATTTGTTGTGAATTACTTCATTGGTGCCTTCTATCTCCACGGAGTCATATGCCCATTTTCTGTTAACCCTGAGGGCATGTGAGAACAATCTATACTGATCAAGTGAGATGCTACGAGATAATTCATGACACAACAGCTATGCGAGTCTTGTTTGAAAATGGTTTTCATACTATATTGAGGTTCATAACAAAAATCCCTCACCTGCATTCATGGCCACATTTTGGTGACCGACACTTTGGACATGGAAAATGACAACCTGGGCAAGATTCTTCCAGACAATCGCACAAATCTTTTCCATTTGAGATCAGTATCCCCTTTTCATCATACAGACTATTTGCCTTGCGTCTTCTGTGAGGAAACAAGAAAAAAACTCATAACTTAAAAAGTCTCCAAAATCGACATGCTAAAAAAGTTTAATTAATACCATTTTAATTCGCAAATTACAAAGGCAACAATGTATACCTGCCGGTGTATATCTTCCTCGTCAATTTTCTTTTCTCTCTGTTACTTTGCTCTGGATCAAAATTTTCCATGAATTTTAAATGTTGCCCTTTGTTTGCTTTATCCATCACTCAAACACCTGTCAAAATATCACGGGTAATTAAGTTTTATCTTATGTTCTAAATCAGTTTCCTCTAAGTTTCGCAGAATGAGCTGTCAAAACGCCACGTATAATATTGGTGTAATAGGGCGACGATGCGATCTACCAAATAAAATTATATACAACCTCACGTCTCAATCGATGAACGAAATCGCCAAGCTTTTGCCCTGGCCATGGGTGAAACACTACAACCAACAGTGTAAACGTTGCTGACTACCTACATGAAATTGCATACGAGAGAAATAAGGGTAATGTTAATCTGTAACCAATTAGAATTAAATACAAAGTAATATCCAACGATCTTAAGAAAAATACATTGACTGCCGCGGAAAGCAAATATATGTATATATATTAAATTTACGTAATTGTAGTTGGCAGTTTGGCTTAACAAGACCAGTTACATATTCAAAATAGAGCGGGAGTGATAGAAATGATCAAATTTGTAATGTCTGTAATCAATAATTTGCAACTCATTCGGAGTTATTTCTTGGAGTCAGAGCAATGGGCTGACCCCTTAAGAACCCTTGCTTCAAAGGCTTAGCATTTCGACGTTCTTGAATTAGGAGTCGTTCATAAATATGTAAACAAACAGAAAATTGACATCGACAAACTATGAGATAGGGCAGGTAGTCACCAGGCTGGCAGTTCACGAATTCCACTTTTTACTTTGCAAAACCAAGACCTTCCACGAGCCAAAGGCTTGTGCGAGCTTTGTGGGATATCCACTCGTTATCATATAGAGTGGTGCAAGCAAAGGAAATTATCTATAAATTAATACGCTAAAACACAATAGTGAACACAAAGTGTAACTCGCAACTTCGGTAGGAATCAAATTCACATCTGTGCACATTTTAGTTTATTATTATAAATTACGTAATGCCAAAGAGGGGGTAAGGGGAGGCATATGTTACGTTACGTAGGGAATAGTGTTAGTAACGCTGATATATTTTCATTTTTCAGCATTTGCAGAAATAATTCCTTTTCTCTATCTTACACCAAAACATTAAAATATTAACTAATTAGTTTTGTTTAAATTTTAAAGGGTATTATGTATAAATTGTTGCAATAAATAAAATATTTTTTATCAATAGTATATTGTTTGAATCTGTTAGATTACGAAGAAAATACTCAAACTTGATCAATAATATATTCTAAAATCCAATAAATGTGAGTTGACAAACTGTAATTAACTGTCCAAAATCAGTATTTTTTTACGGTAATTAGTGCAGAAGGTATGGAACTACATGTTGAAAATAAAGATAATTCAATGTGTCATTTGATTTCAAATCAAGCAGCTCCTTCTCTTTCATAAGAGAAAGATCAGTATCCGTCCTGGACATGTATTAAAAATGTGTATTGTGTGACGTATTAGCACTACTCCACTGAAGAATCCTAACCAGGGTCTCTCGTTTCAGACGTCCAGTGACTCAGGCTCTCACAGTGGATCGTTCACATGTATTTGCCAGTAGTACGAGGCTCAGAGAGTATATATCGAGGCTGATGCAATTTGCGTGTTTTATTACTGATCGAGAGCTCACATGTTACACCTGTAGTGAACCGAAGAGTGAAAGGTGATGGGAACAGAAAGTGAAGAGTCAGTTATTTTCGTTATTTTCTGTTGAAAGAAGTTTACAGTCAAGTTTATAAACAGGCATTCACGAACCTAAATAGAAATATCACGCATTCAGGTTCAACGACTGACATCCATTTTTTTGTCAGGTCTGTCTCTAAAAGATGGCAGAGGAAAATGTAATAACAAACCTCATGCTACAATGTATGAAGCACGAACATCTTAAGACGATAGAACACAGAATAATTTCCAACGGAATTTCCACACTATTGATCAGATTCTGTGAAGTTTTTGCCGAGTGAATTAAACGCCAAAATATTGCACAACCTGCTCAAAAAAATCTTGAAAAGGAAAATATTATAATATATGAGCTCTATCAAGGGCGGATGCAGACGAATTTTGGGAGGGAAAATTAAAAATGGTTTGGTCGAAGATACCATGTTACAGATTTTATTAAATGTCTTTGGCTTCACTAGCTCAAGCTGCAATACGAATTTACTCGTTGAAATGTTTATCCTAAAATATTGTTGCTTGAAAGTTTCGTGACAAGTTAAAATTAATAGTTACTGAATTTTTTTTGGGGGGGGGGGGGGGGGGATTTCCCTCCCCGTGGACCCGCGCCAGGCACTACGCAAAGTTTTTCAAGAAAAATTTCAACTTGAAATTTTGACTTCTAGTAAGATGTTTGAATAGGTGTTTAGATGAGTGCGGACGTTTAGGAGTAAGGAGTGAGGACGCAAACCTCATTGATAATACAGGAAGAATTGCTACACGTAGCTGAGTTCTTGATTCCCAAAAGACGAGCAGATACATTTTATTTAAAAAAAATCAAGATGTCACTAAATTGTTTCCAGAAAAGACCGATATCGACTTCATGCAGAATTCCACAAATACCAGTGTAAAAGACGATTTTTATCGGCAATTCTGGGTCAATGTTTTCGAAATCTGCGACATCAATGATTATATAGGCCATTGCTACATATACAATGAAGGAAGCTCTGAATGAGAACCGCGCATTTGTTAATCAATGAATTCAAATCAATACACCTGATTCCATCAATGAAATGCATCTTTACTCAGACGTATGTCCGTATCAAAATAGAAACAACACAATACACCAACTGTTTTATATTATGTGCATTTTCTTTCCTCTCCAGCGCTTTCGCAGAAGTGAGAAAGTTATGTATTGCTGCGGGGAAAAAGCGGCGAATTATCGGCAGGAGAACTCTTATGCTTGGCCCTGGTAAAAAAATTAAAAAAGAAGGACACATCATTGCTAAATTTAGAAACAAATCCTCTAACCCTTAGTGTAGCTAGAATCCATGTTTGGTGCGTCCTTGACACTGAAAAATCTATTGACGTCATAACGACTGTCCGACTGTGTACCACTGTGTACAACGCTAGCAGCATAACTGGGTGGACGATTTTCTTCAAAATAGATATTCCTCTATCCATCTGAAAACTGATTTTTCGAAAATTGCATAAGTTCACAACTTTTTCGGTGTCTTCCTCCAACTAAAATATTAAAGATGCAGGCTTCATGTACATTGAAAATTCTGATTTTTTAAAATTGCAAAACTTCAAAATTGTTTTCGGAGCCTTCCTACTATCCCAATTATGAAAATAAGCATTTTTCTTAATGAAATACGTTCACCAAAACCAGTTCTTCAAATAATTTTACGGTCAATTTCTTGGAAATACGAGAATTGTTGCGAAATTTTGTACCGAAATTAAGCATTTTTTTAAAAAAATTTTAAACCATTCTGGATAACGGCACACGATTTTTTATTACATATAGACTTTAGATAGCGCAAAAGTCACTTAAGAGAATGGTACAGGTCTCGTGTTCGTTGAAATAACTGATTTTTTGAAAATTTAAATAAATTACGTCTGAGCCTTCCTACAATTAAAAATGTGAAGAAGCAAGCATTTTTTTAATGAAATGTGTTTATCAAAAACTGATATTCAAATAAGGTCATGTTGAATTTTTCGAAAATATTTTTTTAGTACTTAGGCTTCAAACATACATCGCTAGCTCCGAATTTCGTGCGCTTCATGAACTTAACAGAGGTAATCCCAAGCTGCAACTTGCTATGCAAGTTAAAATTTGTACATATTTCTTACACTAGTTTTTTTTATATGTTTACAAATTAATCTTTTAGCAGGAGCGGATCCAGAGACAAATTTTGAGGCAGGCTACACTCAGCTCAGGTTGCGATTCAATTTTATTAACTTTAATTTTTGCTTGAAAGTGTCGTGGACAAGTTAAAATTAATAGTTACAGAAAAATTTTGGGGGCAAAATTTCCCTCGTATTCCTTTCCTTGTATCCACGCTTGATTTTAAAAATTATTTAAAACCTATTTAAAATACATGAAAGAAAAAAATGTAGCTTTCAGGGGAATATATTAGAATGCAACAATGGCATTCCGTGCCTCCAGAGCAGCTGAACTTCTGTGAATTACATCTCATTGTCGCAACATTATTTTGCTGTACAAAAGCAATTATAATTGTCAAATTTTTGTTGATATTTGCTTGAAAATATTTAGTTTTTGCACCAAATGTTCTATAATTACAAATGAGTTTTACCAAAGATAATGACTCGAGATGTGTTGATGCGGAGGAAATTTGTGGTATACAAATAGTATAACATAACCATTACTGTAGGCATGAAAGTTATTGTGTTTTAAAACCACTATTTTCATAAGTCAACACTCATACAAAAATAAAATGTATTTTTGAGAATGCTGTTATTTTGCGAGATTCGGTTCATGAATCTTTCTTGAGGTGAAAAGCAGTATAAGTCCAGTTTTTGTTCAAATTATACCTAAAACATAATTAATAGTTTTTATTGCAATTACTCCTCAGAACTTATTCGTATGGCTTGGTACATCATTACTAAAAAAGAAAATAATTAAAACTCAACAGTTTTTTGGCATATATAATCAACAGTTCTAACTTAAATTGTTTCAAAATGAACTTTCTGGACTATTGTAGTATAGTATTATAGTACTATTTTTCCATTCACCCAACCAATTAAATGGGTGCAGTAGACTCTTGCCCACGCATCTTCCACAACCGTGTATATGGCTTGTAAGAAATTTTTTCGTCCGTTCATCATTCCTTCACACAAAAATTGTCCCCAATCTTGTTAGGTACAGTCAGCATCACCGACTTATTTGTTTAAATATATTAGAACACAAATAAAATTAATACAAATTGTCTTTATGGTGATACAATTTATTTTTACTTCTTGTAAATTGGAGGGGGCTCATAATTTATGTAATTAATGAGGGGGGGGGGCGGTAGGTTCAAATGCCCGTTGAAGGGGGGAGAATTCAAAATACTCCAAATTCACATAATTTATATTAATTTATAGAAGACCCCTTACTAAACAATAATTTTAAAACAGAAAAGTATTTATTAATGCTATGCTAGAAAGAAATTAAATTAACTATATGGCTCCCTTAAGGTTAAAAAAAAAAACCCATTGGATATCATGTGTAACCAATCTCCCAAGTCATTAACTTTTAATTTGTGATAGAAAGAAAGAAAAAAAAAAAGATAAAAAATAAAAAAAAAAAAAAAAGAAGCAGAATGCGTGAAGTGACTAATTCACAATTCAATAATTACACACCATAGTTTAAAATGAACATAAACAAAGAGCAAAGTAGTCTTTGCATACCATTAACAGAAAAAAAAATGGACACTTAATTTTTTCTGGTGTTTCATTTTAAAACTGTTGAGTTAGGAAGCAATTTAGGACTCTTAATACTAAGATTTTAATGCTATCACTACGCTTGATTCTTTTAAAACAAAATGCGGCATATGACATTCTTATGTAATGGCTATTACCTTGAAATATGCTAAAATATGAAATATTTTAAAATTTTGATGGCTTACATACATAGGTAATCTCTTGTTTAAATCCAAACTGAAAATGGATTGGGAATTTTTTTTTCTCCAAAGAAAACATATTCATATATTTTTCAAATGATAAAAGAATTGGTTGAAAATGTCTAAGAGCAATGCACTAAAATGTCATTATTTTCTGCACAGAAAACTTGCACGTGCTCCAAAAGATGAAATGAAAGGTCTTCTAAAGAGGAAAAAGGTCATGATGCATGAACAAATTTCAAACAAAATTGGACAGAACAAATTTGAAATGAGCTTTATAAAGCAAGTGAAACACATGACTTCATTAAATGCCCAACAAAGAAACGACCATCCCAAAGTAAATAAGACGCAAATTTTTGTCTTCTTTCATGTGAAATGACGACTATAAGTTTATTTAAATGAGAATATATTTAATGAAATTATTTTTTTGCTTTCCCCAAAATTAGGCCACCCTAATCTCTTGAAATTCCCAATATCGCAAAGAAGCATGTCTCCAAAGAAAATACTCAAGCAATCCACAATGTTATGCAAGTACTAATGTAAAAATTTTATTGAGCTACAGAATTTCTTGCAGATCTTTACTGATTAGTTGAATTACGAATTTAAATGAGTTCAGTGTGTTGACATGAAATTAAGCACTTAAGCGGCTTAACTCACAATTTGTGTAATTTAGTTGATAGTTTCAACCTTATTTCTTATAAAAACATTTGTCTAATGGTTTCAGAGCATTTCCATTAATAATTCTATGAATTTCAATCAAGAAAGTTTTAGCATGAAATGTATCAGCAATAAGCAAATGCTAAGAATTAAGAAAAATTGAATTTTTAAATCTGGAAATATTAAATGAGGCTTCTGTATAAGAAACTGAGTTGCCACTAGCATGGACAAATCAATATTTTTCTACGAAGGGATACCCATCTCTTAGACAGAACAATCCCCCCCTCACCCAAACCACACAATAACCGTATTACACTATCAATCTGATAATAATTAAAAGCTCAACTTGCAGTTCTCAAGGGTCTCCATAAATTTCCTTAATGCAAACGTGACCTAACCCTCAAGGGGAAAAAAATGTTAAATCTGTCAAGCTTGACAACCATTATGATCTACAACATGCAATAGCAGAGTATTTCTTGATTAAAAAACCAAACTACTATATTTACACTATAAAAACATTCAGAAACGAATGTTTTCAAATGTAACAAGACATCAGAAATTTTCTCTAATCAGAGAATTAATGGTCAGGCCACTAATGTTAACAGCCTCACTTGATATCAAGAATTTATTCCTATGAAGTAGAAAACATTTTAATCAATAACCTAATGAGCAACAGTAATCTCCAACTACTGGCATTGAAATAACCAAACCTCCCATTCCTCTTGCATCCTGCAAAATGAGAGCAGAACAAAGTTTGTCTGGAGTAGATCAATGAACATTCTTATTTTTAATTACAAACCATTGCTAATGCATAAGAGCTTTCATTGGTATATGGGGCTTCTTTACAAACACAGACACCTTAATTTTACTTGATCTTGGTGGAAAGAGTACTGAATAAAACTACTTGTTAGTAAGCTTCATTGAGACATAAGGTACAAAAACAAACTTTTTTAAAAGTTGATTTTAAGATAAAATACAAATGTAAATTTATTGAAATTTAAACAACTGAAAAATTCTGACAACAGGTAGGATTAAATGGGAAGTAGAACTCCATTAGAAGCCATGTCAATCTTAATCGATACAAATAACAGCTTTTCAAATTCAAACAGTTCTTTTGTCACACTCGCAAATCAAAGTGCTATTTCACACCTTTCTTCTGTACTCTAAACTAATTGGAATTCATTTGCCTCATAGCAGAGAAGTATAAGAAACTATCCATAAAAGTGGAATTTCTTTTAAAGTTTAAAAAAATTGAAAAACAATTTTCTATCAAATGGCATTCAACTTTTAACACTATATGTAAAATAAACTCAAAGTGTAACAACAAATCTATAAATTTACCATGGGGGGGGGGGGGGGGGAAGGAGGACTAATCAAATTTCATGTATTGCATTACAGCATTAGAAAAATATGGTTTTGAGGAATAAAACATTACTACACATTCAATATGGAAGGCCGAAATAAAAATGAATGCTGCAACAGTCATAATCTTATATCTATAATTGTGATCCACATGTACAGACTTGAATTTGAAATCAAGGACTGTGTTGAACAATTAGTTAATATGATTTCAATGAATTGCATGGTATTTTCAACTAATGTTCAACCTAAATACATCTATTTTTTAAGCACAGACACACTTCTTCCACCTTCACAGCTCAGAACTTTTTATCACATTGTCAACTCCATAATAGCATTGACAATATCATTTTGGTTATTTTTAAGAGCTTTGATGGCTTTAGCTCGAGACACATTTGCTTGAGACATAACTAGTTCAACATCCTTTTCCTCAACTCCCGAGTCGTCGACCTCCTCCTCTTCAGACTCTTCTTGGATTGGAGCAACAACAGCAGTACCACCACCCTGCTCTGTAGCAGGTGATACTTCCGGAGCCTTGAATTTTTCAGCTGCTGCAACTTGAGCTTGTTGACTTAAATCTTCAATCTTTGCTTCTCCAAAAACAATGTAGGTATCCGAAGCAGGATTCTTGTAAACATCAGGCTTATTAATGACAAAAAGAATATTCTTGGATTTGCGAATAGTGACTCTGCTCACACCTTGCACAGGTTTCAATCCCAATTTTGACATAATTTTTCGGGCTTTCTTCTCACCACGGCTTTGTTTTGCCTTAGAAATGTCAATGGGAAGGCCAGCTGCAGCTGCAGCTCCACCAAGAGCACCTGCAGCCGTTCCAGTTCCAGGATCTTCCAGCTCAGGGATGGTGTCATCGGAATCAGATTCTGTTCCTGACCCTGCTGAACCTGCACCACCTCCCACAGCATCGCTGAGAGAGGATGTGGCCTTGTTTACTTCAGTGAGCTCTGGCATGTTTATAAATTTGTTGAAACCTGAAAATCATTAGATATCAAGAAGATGAGTTGTTTTGTTATTGAGAACCCTTAGAGACTATTGCAAATCGTAGCATAAAACCACAAAAAAATGACGTTTTCACGCCTACCTGTTCACACTCCAATAAGCCTTTCTTGTAATCACGCTCAAATCTTCCGAAATTACTAAACGAAAAATCACGTGGCGATAACTGCAACGTGAGAGTGAAATCTGTAAGGAACCAAGGAATAAATAATATATAAAATGGCGGGACCGGAAATACTAATCAAGTTAACTAGTGTTTTCATTACATAAAGATATCTATCTTGCATACACAAATATCTTTCAATGACAAAAATTATACCTTTTCATTTTATCTTTTTTTTAACTACAAATTACGAACTATAGATAAATGATATTACAGAGTCAAAAGTAAATAGTAAAATAATATATGTTTTTATATTTTAAAACATTAATGTTTAAGATACATTAATTATAAAATAGATTTTCTCATGAAATAACCTAATTCAGAATCTGTATATTACATGGTGGAAAATATTATAATATATAAATATCTAAAAGGCCTTTTGGGAAAGAGCATAAATATCCTATCTCTCTGGATATGTAGAAAGATGATCGCACTAAGTCTGTAAGAAGAATACTCAACTCCGGCAATAGGAACATTGATGAATATGGTTTTGAATATGAATATGAATATGAAATGTGTTGTTCTATTCTATGGAATACGAATAAAATGCACCAGCTGCCAATCGAACTCGTTTAGCTTCAGCGCTATCACGCGGTCAATTGAAGAACCATTTAAGACATTTTTCAAATAATTGTCACCAATCTCTTGTCACGTCCGACTGTAAATAGAAGTGTATATGGAAGAACAAGATGTGTGTGTGGAACGAATGTCTATTGGACAGGCCTTTAAAACTTATAGGGCCTTACTAGGACTTGCTCAAATGTCAAAATAAACGGCATCTTCATTTCCGTGCACACACTAGTGTGCATGACGTTTGTCAAATACCACTTTGTTACAGCCGGCATAAGTTTCTTTTTTCATCGCATGATGCTTCTGTACGAGTAGTTAAGTGAGTCCGACTAGCTGGTTTTCGTACATATTAAAAATGCCACCATTATTCCTTCTACACCGGGGTTCAGTCTATTTTTTACAAGCTTCGTGGATGCTCCAAAGTGTAATGTGCATGTTCCTCCCTACCCTTGGAGAAATATAATAATATATCTCCACCTAAGAGTATATCTGGCCGCCACCTCGCGTCTCGTGTTTGGGACAAAATACCAGCGGTAAATTTAAAACATGTCTGGTTCATTTCTGAAAGGATATGAAACAATATTTGCACAGTAACTATTGTTTTGTAATAATCTTGCTTTATTCTTTCTATACTGTAACGAATATTGCATCACTTGCCGAAATTCGCTGCGCGCATTGCGTCATTTGCTGGCGCCCCCCGAACTGGACCGTTCCGGGTTATTTGCGAATCCCGATGGCTCCGGCCAGGTATAAATTCGCCGCTGCCGGCGGTCGCTGGCAGTAGTAGTCGGAAGTAAGCTGCCGCGGGTCAGTGTATGTATGACAGTGAGTAAGCAGCCAGTCAGTCCGAGTACGCAGTATATCTGAAGTGGAAGCTGAGCTGTGAAGTGTGCATCGCGGTGAACAGCAGTGCAGGGGATCCTGGTCTGTGCGGTGAAGTGTGGTCTGCGCAGTGAATTGTGATTTTCGCAGTGAATTGTGGTCAGCGCAGTGGACCCAGGACAGTGCATCGGACTGTGCGATAGTGTAGAAGAAGTGGACAGTGTAAATAAAGAATCTAGAGAACAGAGTCGTGTGTAAGGAAAATAATCAAGTGAAGAACACAAGGACTGTGTAATATATGTATAAAGATATCAAGTATTTTAGTATATCATTAAGAAAAAGAATAAAAGTCTTTGCTAAAATATTACCTGTGTTTTAAATAATAATAATAATAATAATATAATAATAATTATAATATTTATTGAGTTACATACAATTGCAATCGTGTAAAAACTATAATAGCTATAATTACCAACAAGCGCAGGGTACAATGACATATTAGTTTTCTTCTCACCCATATTGTCTGTAAAATGATTATAGTTACAAACTAATATACGTGTAAGGACAATCATAATATTAAAATATTTAGTTAATAAATATAGTAAATCGCCGATGTCAAACGGAGAGAGAAACAATACTTAATTAGTAAATTAATCCAAATTAATCTACACATAACAGTATTGATGATATTACGAGTAATGCAAAATTCAACTGGCAAATTGCCAATGACAACCAAAGGAGACATAAGACTTTCAAGCCTATACAAAGGAAATTACGTAGAATGAATCATTAATAAATTGTCTGAAACAGAATCTTATAGCAATTTTGATAAAATCACTTTACTGCATGTAGTAGCAACCAACGAATGCGAGATATGACATGTCCGTTTCTTCTCTTTAATACTCTAATAATAGTTTTGATACATTACGATCGATGACTATCAACAATGCTCACCAGCAACATTGAACTTGTGACAACCAAGTCTTTTTTTTCCCAAGGTGAATGGGGCATATAACAATGGATTTAAAATATAGATTACTAATTTTGTTCGGTTATCTTTAGATTATCTAAGAAAATGGAATTATCCAAAGCTCGCTTTTTTGGAGGTTTATAGATGCAAAGATAGTTTTGAGCGTAGTTTGACGTGCGGCTGTTATTTCAAAAACTTTTTCTACTGCATGTAAATTGAATTCTGACAAGAAGATAGAACCAATAGGAATCAGAAGGATGTTAAAACCCGTTGCTAAGGATTTTAAATTTCTTAACCTAGAGGTAGGTACAAGTGTACTTAACAAACGTTTAGGATTGCATGTTAACAAGGGTTAAAGACTCATGTGACTGATAAATACATTAACAGCATCAACTGAAAATTTCAATTTCTTTATTTGACGTTACAAATAAATTATTTTCAAATGTTTGCTTCGTACACTTTTCATTAGTAATTTCTGTTATCCTTCTCAAATTCTTTGCTTTCTCCGTGTTTGATTCTGCATTGTCCGCTGTCTCTATTGTCGTCTAAGTATCGTAATGCAGTCTTGACATCTTCCAATGCCTTTTGCAACTGTTGGAACACGGTCCCACTCTCGGAATGCCCTTTTACTCGCCTAGTAATCTGGAGCGGCCTGGCGGAAGCTATTAATAAAATTGATCACCGAATGGAACATTCTAGGCCAGCTATATCGACCTCAGGGGAGACGTATTGGATTATGACCTTTGGCCGACGTTATTTTTCGAAGCTTCCTAATGTTGAAATTCCCTACTAGAAAAAATATATCGTCTCAGTGCCACAAATTCCGACATTTTCTACGTTCACTGTAGCCGAGGTTCAGTGTTCATTATAACCGAATTTTCTTACGCTTATTTGTAATGGAAATGAAACTCGACCAGCGACTTAGGTTCATTATAACCGAGACTTCACTACAACCGGAGTCGTCTGTATACACCAAAAAAGAAATGACTTGTCAGATGGATGATTTGTTGATTTCAATGCGACGCATCTGAGGGAGTACGGGAATGTGTTAATCCCGAGAGAAATAGTTGTATAAATAGAATATTATAACCCTTACTAATAAAGTAATATAAGTCAAGTAAAGCAAGTGCTGTTGTAGCAGCACTGTTTTTTTGTTGTGATTTTAACATTTATTCAAAACAATTGTCTCACTGATATCAGTACATTACAAACCATTTATTTCCATGAAGCACGCGCAGACGTGATTTCAAGATATTCAGATTCTAAAAAAGTGTGTGAATGTCTCGCTCTGACAATAATTCAGAAATCGGATTTTTTTTCCCATGCGTTTGTGATTCACTTAATTACATAAGTGAGTTTTTGATTTTTCATGTCTTGAATAGCTTTTAATACTTTTTCATGTTGAAATATCCCACTACTCCAAGTACTACCCGTAATTGACAATAAGCGACACGGGCAACAATAAAGCTTTAACTTCACTACCTGTTGGCCATTTGTGTGAATAATATCGTGAAGAATTGAAATTTCTTGCATTTTTTTCCCCCGCCAGCACGATGTACAACCGAACTCAACATAGGAGTGGGACAACCATTGTCCAAAATGAGTATTTTCTACATCATTAAACTAGGTTGTTTACTCTCATAATAAAATCAATCTTAAATATAAAGTATCAAGAAACACTAACAACATTAGGGTACAAAAACAATTTTTTTCATACCTCCAGGATAAATGTGATTTTAGGAAACGATCACGCTGATATCAAAAATCATTATAAAAAGTTTATATCATGCAGGGTTCAAAAGATATGAATACATTTAGTATTTGAAATAAACAAAATCGTATATACTAATTTCCACATTGTAACTCCAGTTATAATCATTTTATGAGCATACTTTGTAAGAGGTAAGAACAAGTTACAAAAATGAAATAGGCATATTCATACAAATATTACTGAAACATCTTAGGAGGAGAAATTCCTATTGTATTGCTTAAAAATGCATTTGCATCTTGTCGCTTACTCTTGTAGTCCTGTTTACTCTCTCTGACAAGAAACTAGCAATTATCTCCAATCATTGCAGAATTCTTTCTTTGTATTTCTTCTCCATTGTAGCAGTATCTTGATGTTCATCACTAATATCACCCAAATTCTGCATGAAAAATTAAGATGGAAGTGAAGAAAATGAATTTTCAGACACCTCTGATTTTTTGTACCTTTCTAACCGTTCTGTGATCAATGTTTTACAATCTTCATTCTTTGTCCTGTGAAATCCATGAACAACTCTCTTAAAGGGAAATTGATTATGACAATTCAACATTACTTGTTTTAAGAAATAAATATATCAAAACATGCATCAACCACCCTTTTAGGATATTTTTGGCACTACTAGATACTCTCGGTAGATATTTTTTAAGACTTTTAAACATGTGCAATTATTTACCACAACCTCCTAAAGGAACTAAAGAGGCACTGGTGCTAAAATCTGAGGTCTAGTAAAGCCCAAAGGCAGACCTCTTGTCAAACCATGAAATGCTTAGCGATTTGTCAGCTGGTATCCACTCGTTTTTTTTTACACAAAAATTGGTTAGAAGTTATGTTGCATATTCCATTTATATCATTTCCTTACCAATTTGTAAATTTATAATAAATGAAGTTATAGGTTTTTACCCAAATTGTCAAAATTATATACATGTCCAGAATAAAGCAATCCCAGTTAAATCCGAGTGCTTTGAAATTGTAATTACTCTAAAGTTTAAAGGATAACAACTTTCTGGGATCTAATTTTATTTGCTTCTCATTAATATTTAATTATCTCATTAAAATTAATTTCTGCATCACCTGCAACAGAACTTTAGAACGTAAGGATTTGTGAAATAATGTAAGTAGCTTTCTCCCTTACAGAAAGTAATGTAACCTATAATTTAAATGTTTTGCCTGTTTTAACTTGAACAGAGTATTACACTACTTCTCAATAGGGGAGACAATGAAAGAAATTTTTAAGTCGTAGGAAGTTTTCAGCAGACATTTGATTAATTACCTATCTGCTCCCTATATATGCAAAAATTAACCTCTGCCATATTACAATAAAAAAAAAAAGCTTCAGAATAAATAAAGTACTGCAATTGTTAATACCAAATATTCCAGTTGTTTGCACATGATACCAAGTCAAATACCAATTTTCAACAAACTTAAGATTGGTTTGCAACAAATGGGTGATTTGTCTATATACCAAACACAATTTACATATCATAGGACAATCAGAAAGGAAAATTGCCAAGGGAGCAGCATCTCCCCGATTGCTAAATCTCTTAGATAAATGAATTGAAAATGCATAACACAGCTTGCTTCTATAACATTTTTTATTTGTAAGAAATTACATATCTATACAATACAAATTTTTTGTTGGAGATGCTATGGGCACCTTAATTTAAGACAAACTACTGGTTGTACAAAAGTTACAACTCGGTACACTGTAACTTAACATTTGGCTGAGATAGACCGAAGTCTAATGATATCAAAACACTGGCTTAAGTACCTCTACCAAGTGAAAATAAACTCAAGAAACTGTGTTAATATTGACAAAATTGGCAATAAAGATTAACACACAACAAATTTATTTTCAAACAACTTTACATTTAAAATCAGAAACTAATGACAAGATCTTCCTCTGAAAAAACATAGATATCAAAGATATCTTAACTCTCCATAAATCCCTGTAAATTAATGATGCATATCATACATTGGAATTATCTGGTACACAGAAACTTGTTTAGTAGGGTTCCCATTTAAAAATATTAAGATTGATATGACTCATTGCCTTTTCTGTGTAGGTACAAAATATTATCAAAAAATGTCTAACACAAAATAATGCTTAGAGACATTTCATAAATTACAATCTTTAATACTTCAGATTTTTCTTGGTATGTACAATCCTACAAGATCGAACATTTTGAATACAATTTTCAGACTTCAAAAAACTTTAAATTTGCAATAATATTTATTTGTAATTGAAACATTATTTTCAAATCTTGAAAGAATCATTTGATAATTGTTGTGTGTTACCATCAGTCTTAGAAAATTAAATTATTTTAAGATGGCAATAAATTCAAGGGACAGAAACAAATTTCAATAGGCCAAACTAGAATACTAATTTTTTATGTAAAGAATGTACTGCAACTTGCAGATATATCTTTTAGAGGGCATATGTATAAATAGAACTAAAATAACATTTAGGAATCTTTAAAAAAATATCTACACCTTATTGTACAAAAAGAAATACAGTTTTAAATTTTCATGATTTGCAAGGTAATTAAAACTTACCATATTTAAATTTCAATGATTTGTTCCATTTTGCAGTTAAAATTTAAATAGTTGAATGAAACTTCTAATTTCTCTATTATCAAGTTATTGCAAGTAGGCACAATATCAAACAATCTTACTACAAGACAATTCACACCAATTAACCATCTTCAAGAGACTTGAAATCATCTTCTCTGATTTTGAAAAATAATTAATAATTCAATGGAAATGAAGATATAGGTAATTTTAACTGATACATTTTACATTTCACTTCTTCAGTACCATAAGAAATCAATACTTCCTAGTGATCATTTAGTATGATAAAGAAACATGTTAACTGCAAAATGGACCAAAAAATGCACATGGCAATTACATTATTACAGTACAATAAATTCTTTAAAAGAATTATATTTCACCACAATCACTTTTGCAAAGAAGTACAGCATTACTGCTGCCTGCTTGTAACAATACAATACATACATACATGAAACAAACATTTACACAATGAACAATAATATCATCCATGTTTACCACCACTAAGTAATTCATTCTTTTTTGAAAATAGTCCCATGAAAACATTAGTGCAAACAGATGGGATCTATAATCCAAATGGCCCCCATTACAGCAACATGCTAATATTATGCTTTTTCCCTATAACAATTCAGCACTGAGATCCTCATGACACTTATTTGGTGTTTTTAACTTTTGCTAATAGTCAAGACATTCCCTGACGTGTTGGCACCCTTTGCTACACCTGCTTTCTAGTGTGCCTCAAAAACAGTCCCTAAGTATCACTACAAATATGCAAGTACATATAGATGGTGCTTTAAAATATATTGATTAAAAAGTCAAGACAATTTGACAATTAACATTACCTTCCATCACCATGCAAAACTTTCACTCGCAACACAAATTGGATAGGGAAGATACAAATAATAAAAATAATTTGTACCAACTACATTTTAATTATAATAATAATAATAATAATAATAATAATAATTATTATTATTATAATTAATTTAATATTACTGATATAAATGCTTTTAAATACACTTAGGAACTGCCAGAAATCTAAGCAATTTTTTTTAAATTTTAAATCAACAAGATTTCACATAATGAACTACTTTTTTTTTATCTCAATTTAACTAAGACACACTTGGGGAGAGACTGTTGGAGGACGTTTATTTTCATACAAATCAGCATTTTTGGAAATTGCAAGTAAAATATCTACAGAATCTAGCAACATTTTCAAGTGCTCATCAAAGTAACCACACTTTCAAAATGTATACAGCTGATTTCATAAAATTTTTCACTATTGCTTTCACATCTCTTTCTACACAAAGATAAAATAATCAATACAGCAATATACTTTGGAACAGTCAACAATATGCAGTAAGATAAAACAGAACTTCCTTAATAATTATGGAAATAGAATTAGAAATATGTTCTGTCGGGCAAGACAGACTTATCTCAAGACAAGTACCATACTCTTAATAGAAGACTTCACTGCTCAAAATACCTAATGTTTTTTTAATATCAAAAATTGAATGTGCAATTGATCAGTGCACTGACATACAGCAACAATTGCAAACCCATTAAATAAAGGACTTATTGCAATATTTGAACAGTAAGGCAGGAAACAGTGAAGTAATATAGGGTAAAAATAATAACAATAAGATACTATTTATCAGGCTTTCAAATAAGATCATTTTCTACCATCTTTTAGCAAAAAAATAATAATAAAAAAATAAAACAAAACAGCATAGCACCACATCACCCACACAAAATTTTATTCATAAATTTACCTAGTAATCTGAAGTCTTTACTGCCATAAATTTGTGGCCAGTGTGTGGCCCTGGCCAGGCTGCTGTGGGAAGGCACTCATACCAAGAGTGGCAGAACTGCCTGTTAATCCAGAAGGAATGCCCATTGCAGGTACCTGCATACCCATTGCCACTGAAGGGGGTGCCACCCCTAAAATGGGTTGAGGCTGTGCTGACATAACTGGGCCACCCAAATTGAGCCTGTTCATTTGCTGAGGTAACTGCGCAAAAACACACAAACAAAGCAATATTGTGACTGTTTTTTATTACAAACAACAGTAAAGTAGGATTGAGTATTGCATTTTGTGTCAATTTTTTGCAAATATTTTTCGAAATCAAAATTAAAACAGATATACTGCAAGCTCTACAAATTAACTTTTATGCGGTAGCAGATGTACTTCTTCACAAGGAGAAAAAGAAACCAGTAACAAAAGTTTCTCGTTGGAAACTGACCATAATTAAGTACGAATATTTTATAAAAATGACATGACTATGATTCAACAACATACTGAAACATTCAAATATGATCTTGATTTTCCTATACGGTGATGCCTCTATAATTACAATATAATTAATTTCTCACTAGTTTTAATTCCGGAGCAAAATCATTTAATTATGAGTAAGTTATAGCAAAAAATACTAGTAAGGAATCAATTGCAACAAGCAACTCTACTACATCACATACTTCCTCTAAAATATATTAGGAACAATGAATATTGTAACTGTGTACACTACATCAAAACTGACAAACACTCTCACAGGCATGCACAAATACCCCCCCCCCTCCCTTCACACTAAACAGCTAGCTTTTAGAAGAATATTGGTGGTGGACAGAGCAGGGGGGGGGGGGGTTGAATTCTTTGCAGTAATAGAAGAATATTGTGATTAACATTTTAAACACGGAACAAATCTGGATTATTTCAATAAAAAACAGGGGTACAGCCTTAACAGACGACGTCATCAAAAAGGCATGGCCTCAATAGAAGACATCAGACTCGGCACAGCCTCAACCGAAGATATCAGACACAGCATGTTCTCCATGCACAATGATAGCTTTTAATAATGCAAGTCTAAATTTAAAATATTCTCCATTGACCCATGTTTTAAGACATAACCAAAATCAAACATGATAATTTTGACAAAGTCATAATGAGATGAGAAAGTCACTTGATAACTAACTTCCAGTTCTGACAACAGCACCGAATGTTGCTTATCTCACTCCTAGTGAAATTTCTGCCCAAACTGTGTTTTGCAGTACAATTGTTATAGATTTTCAACTTTTGTTCAATGTGATAATTCTCTCTCCTAACTGTTAACAGTCACTAAAAACTTCTCAATTACAATTTCCTACCTTATATTTTCTTCAAGAAAACTTTAATATTGCAGAGTTACAATTACATATAAAGTAAACCAGAGGACACTGATTTGCTGCAAAGAACTATTGAATGCATTCTTTCAATTATTCAAAATTTGACAATATAAATTGTTGATGTTAATTCTTTGATTTGTCATTACTCAAATCTGTATTACCTACAAAAAGATAAGCACTAGTGCTGCGATTTCAAATTCATTACCTGATTAACTGAAGAAACAGCAGTGCCAAAATCGAGCATCAAATCTTGTCCTGTGCTAGAAGCATGCTCCTACAGCAACATGCAACAAAACTTAACTAATGTATGTTGATAGTTTTAAAGATACATGCAGACAATAAAAACTAACCATAATTAACCAAAAAGTTGACTTCTTGAGAGAAAATAACTTCCAAGGAATAATTAAATATTTTCACTAGAATATAAACAGAACACTACATTTGTATGGACATTTATCTCTAGTAGCAGAAGTTGTTTAAACATTTTTGCGCACTCATTTAATCTTTCTAGCCTCTTTGTCCAGTCAAATTAGACCAAAAATTGGTTATCTGAGGGATAATTTTGAAGAGTTTTAAAACTTGGCATGAGTGTTCATTAGTATGTACTTAGTAATTGGATCCCTTTGTTAAACTGAGTGCCCTTCTTCATTAACACACTTCAGTTTTAATCGTCCCTCTCCGTATGCAGTAAATGTGATTATTTCATTTACATTATTAGTTCTCATATTATGAAATGGCTTTTAAATGTTGACAGTGTACATAATCTTTTACCAAATATTTGTTCTCAATTCACACCAAAAAAAAGGTATGGATTATCAGTTTGCCTACCCAAGGAAACCTCAGAGCCTATGACTTTGGAGCCAGCAAGTAAGTTCAAAATCAGATTTGATATGAATAATGTTCACATTTTTTGAACAAACGATCCATATATTGTTGATAAATTCCTGAACAAAAATAAAATGACTTCCGTGCATTGAACAAATAATTGGTCCCCCACCTTCGGCTTTCCCCCCCTTCACGATTTTTGGCATAATGTTGGTACCACTGACTTATCATGCCAAGTTTCGAAACTTAGGAATTTTTTTTCACTCAATTTGTTGAACTAAACTGGGCTATAGGCTTGTCTATAAGAAGACTACAAAAATAACTAGCCTACAGACGTTCTCTTCAACATTTAAGAAATTAATCTAGCTAAGCTAATTATGCTCAATACAATTTTAATCATACACAACAATAACATGCATGCAACATAAGTTACAAAGTTTTACATCTAAACATCAAGCAAACTAACATTAACATATATTAATCAATGAAAGCAGCTCTATGAAGCACAATTAAGAAAGATTTTGAAAATTATAATACTACTTTCCATAATTTAGGAATTATCTGTATTCAATTAACTGCAGCATCTCAACAAATTAATATAAATAAATAAAATTAAATAATATTGATAACAATAGTGATTTTGAGTAACTAACATGCAGGACACTATGCATGCTTTATATATTTTGCAGAAAACAAACCTGAGACATGGCTTGAAAGTTTTGAGCTGGGGCTGCAATAGTCGTACCCATATTGAAGAAAGGATTGGATGCAATTGTAGGCTGCTGGGGAGCAATTGCTCCACCGGTGTTGAATGTTCCATTCTGCGATCAAAGAATGGTTTCACATTTACAAAGTAAATAACAATCCTCAATAGGGAGAAACAAAAATGAAGTAAGGAACCAAATAAGCATTCCTTATACGAAAGATTTTGAACTATGGGTACATTTGTGTACAGATAAATGGCACAACCAATTATTCAACCTACATTCAATATATTTGTAATTTACATCCAATTTCATATTTACAATATGATTTACTGCTAGAATCTCTTTCAATCAAGACAAGTCAAATCAGAATTAAAACAGAAGTTTACATTTTTTATACTTTATATGAATTCCACATCTTTGCTTCTAATCTACTCAATGTATACATGACTTAATTTGAGTAACTTATGACAATAAGTTCTACGAAATTTTGAAAAAACCTTCACATGTCATCACAGAAAATACATTACAGAAATAATTGTAAGGAAAAGTTCTCATTTGCATAAGAATTGACAAAATAATTTAACACCAGCTGAATGAGTCGCAAATGCTTTAAACCATTTTCATTCATTTTATAAGTTGTAAATGTCTAGTATGCAAATTTTTAATAAAAAGAAAATTTAAACCCACATGTGGCATTTCATTCTTTAGAAAAAACGTGTATGAAAAATTATCGATTAACAATTACAATTAAATAATAGAAAATTCGACAATACATATAATTGAAGTTTTTGTTTGATCTTTCGGGTTTTTGCCTGTACCCACTTTAGAATACAGTGTTCAGGAACCTAATTTGAATGCTCCTAGATTTGTGATAAAAGAGTACATTCATTTAGCCATTAGAGTGGCTAATATCCTTACTGTTGAAACTATATGGCTACACCGTCATACTTGAAAAACAGTGCAGAGTTTACCATGCCACATGCCTTCGCAAGGCTGTTTTGTGTGTTTTGTAGAGGCGATAAAAGGTTTCAAATGAAATGAAAAGGATAAAGAAATGTATCACAATCATTCAAATATATCTCATAAACCTTCCCTTCAAACATATAGTCTGCTAAGTAATCAAGATTATAGTCCAATGGAATAGTTTTGAATCATGCCAGCAGGCTTCACTGACTGCCTGTACACACAGATGATAAAGAGTAATCAGACCTCTTTGGATCAGCATACACCAGTCAGTACCAACAGACCAAAATAATATTGGAACAGCTAGTGTTACACATGACTCAACAAAATTAATCAGTATCCAGATTATTTTACTCAAGAATAATATTTATACTTAATTTTCACTTTTAAATTTTAAAATTATTTTGAGTTTTGTTATATGGTTTTCCTTCTATCAAAACACTGCAAACAACACAAGCACTAAAATTGTACACAGGATTTTCAACAAACCCAGTATTTCCATTGATTTGCCTGATGCTATGGCCACTCAAGTTTGAAATTGATCTTTTAAATTTTTGGTGTAGTACTTCACTTGAAATCCTCAAGTCATTTTCATCATTATTCATGATTTTCTAAAAATGGCTCCAAATTTATTCTTTAATTTTTCTTTAGGAAAGTCACCATTTAAACTTCTAAAGAAGTGCACGCACAATTTTCAGTAAAACTTGGGTTTCAAAAGCTGCAATTTACAATAAGATAATCTTGCTTAATATTCCCATAGGCTCATCAATAAAATAGAATATCTCTGATTTCGAAAGGCCGAGTCTTCTTTATTAATGCAATCTATTCAAAATTACATCTAATTGAGTCCTGCACATTTATAAAAATATCAGTCTTTTCATAATCTTGAATTATATAGTGACCAATTTAGTTTTGTTCGAACTCCTTGATAGTAGTCTACTCCTTTACATTATTTAATGAAAAATCTTCAAAATATTAATAGTTTGTGTAGTTTTGCAATATATCATTGGTGTTAGAAGAGATGGCTTAGTATAGAAGGTACAATATTATAATACTAAGCAATTTACTGATTAAATGAGAAAGCATGGACTGTTTTACAACCACTCATTTGTATTTCTGTTATCACAATATTTTTTATACTAAAACATGTCAGCTTCATTACAACCATCTATAAAACATTTAAAGACATTTTGAAATCTTTAAATGGGACCTCACTCAGGCGATAGGTTGTAGGCCTTTCTGAGGAAACAGACCTCCCCAATATTTGGAATAGATTGTGAAATCCTCAAATCACCTGGAGAGGTAGTCGAAGACTTCTGTATGTTCACAATGTGTTTTGTTTTATTTTTTCAGAATGTTCACCTAGACAAGCTAGTATTTCAAAATAATAAACTAAAGAAAAAGAAACATCTCGTGTTAACCTGCTTAAAGAAAGAGAAAGAAAGAAAAAAAAAATTGAAAATTGGTATTTCACTTTTTATGAAGAAACAATTAATCTATTGACACTTGGAAAAATATTTATTTTTAGTATTTCAATTTATAATATCTATTATAAAATGCAATACTAATAGGGTTGGCAGATTGCACTTTTGAAAATTCAGAGTTAACAGTAAATTTAACCTATACCATCTTACAAGTATATTTCACTCTTCTCTATTAATACATTTAACAAAAAAAATTGTAGCCAATTTAAAGAAAGTTTTCAGAATATCCCAGGGGCTTCATGTGCAGTATCCCCCAACTTCACAATCACTTCACAATCATTGGATCAAATTCCCAAGGCGTTTAGTTAAGCCAGAAAACCACAAAACATGTATTTGCATTACAATCTCAACATTGATTTTCTGCAGCACTACATAACATCCTTTTAAACTACATTTATTACTCCGTACATACATGTCAAAATGAACTGTAGAGTTCAGTTTTTATGACTCCATTGAAACATCCAGCACAATTTTGACAAAAACTTTTTTACTTAAACGTACTGTACAGATCCGACTTTTGGATTCTTTGGTTCATTCCATGGGGTAATGTAATATTTTACCGTACTTGGCAGAAGGTAAATGTATTGCATTAAAAAATAAATTCCCAAAACAAATTCCTTTGTTTTTGACACAAAAAACATTTGAAGGTAATGATTTCTGATGGAGCCTTCCGAACAGTCAAGGTAGTTTCTATGCAATCTGAATTGTATTCAAATGCACATTGCCTCTATTTCCAAATTTTAACCAACAACTTTAAGTTGCCTCTAAGATAAAAGAACAATACATACATAAAACCACATACCTGCATTATAGTAGCAGGAAGAGTTTGTGTTTGCATCATACCATTGGGAAGAGCTGAGGTTCCAGGTAAACCAAAATTCATTGCAGAAGGAACTTGCTGAAAGGCTGGGGCTTGCTGGGTATATACTCCACCTATGAGTCATCAAATTTACAAGTATGATTAGAAAATAAATTTCCATTTCTGTCCATTTTAAGTTTTCAATTAATTTCAACTAGTACTATAAATATTGTGATTTCAAGTAACTTATTCACCTGGCATTCCAAAAACTGAAGCTGGAACAGCTGGAGTAGGGGCTGGGCCAGTAGAATATAATGCAAGAATAGAGTCTTTTGTTAGTTGTCTTTTTTCTTGGCTAGATGGGGCTGGCTGATTAAAAAAGCTCTCTTCTTCTGCAGTTCGTCCTTGACTTTTATTAGATTCACTTTCCGTAACAGTGTCTGAAGTTGAAACACTAGTAGTACCAGTTGCAGGAGGTGCACTAAGAAAATTAGTAAATATATCTTCACCATTACTGGATGTACCAGCAGATGATGAACCAGCTGTGCTGTTCACAGGAGTATCTGAAATGAAGTCCACTATCATAGAAACAACATGAAAGGTTTGGTAATACTTTGCGATTGTGTGATTTTGTGTGCACACTTTTACAAGATAATTAACAACTTAATATGAAGCAGCAGGTTAAATAATATCAATACCTAGGCCCAGCAAATCTTGGGTAGCAGACTTGCGATTCGGGTCTGCAACTGTTCTGCCAGGTTTTGGACTTGTGGAGCTCTTTGGTTTTGGCAACAGCTGCGGTACAGGGACTTCCGCAAGAGATGTATTTGATTTTCTGTTCTGTTGCTGTTTGGCTTCCTTCTTCCTCCTCCTCTGACGCTCTGCTTCCTCATCCAACTCCTTATCCCAATTGACCTAAACAAATTTTAAAGCCCAAACTTAAAAGAAAATATTAAATAAAACCCCTAAATTTAAAAAATTCTCATAACTTCATAATGAAATCTCTCTTCATAATTGAAAATATTAGTAAATAGAATAAAATCCCACAAACCTTGGGTATAGATGGTGGTACCCACTCTCGAGCAATATATTTTTTTTGCTCATATTTAGCACGAACAAAAGCTTCAAGTGAAGAATCTGTCTGAGGGCGTCGGAAATTATCTGGAAGATTAGCTTCATAAACTGCACGAGCTCTACTGTTTCCCATTTGTTGAAGACTCTAAAATCGTAATATGAAAAATGAATAATCAAAACACAGATTCTTAACATGTTAAACATAAAATTAAATTTTTAATTATATAACAAGACATACTCAATAACAGTGTAATCAAATCTTGAAGCCTGAATTATTCTCCCAATAAGCTCAAATTACATTAAATTTACAAAGTACATATATGAAGCAATAAATTGCATTGTATGATATTTCAATTCATACTTACTACTACTTGTTCAGGTGTCCAAGTATCCAAATTTACAGACTTCACTTTGGAAATATGAACTCCTAAGTTTCTGTGAATACCAGCACACCGAATGCACAGAAATATTCCTAGATTCCATGACGCCCACCTCGGACCTAAACCATAATTTACACAAATAATTAACATCCAGTAATATTCACATGCCAGCCGCTCACATTGCTAAAGTGACAGGAGAGTTTTAAACCAATTATTATAATTAGAAAAGTCGTAATTTTTTTAGCGGTCGATGTGGAAATTAATGAGACGAAAAGCACGAATCCCAAGCATGGGCGTTTTTAAACATTACTGAAAAAAGTAATTTTCTTTAAAATACCTTTCGCATCACAATCAACACAGTACTTGTTATCTTCGTCCCGCAACATTTGAGTTAAAAGAGCTTGACATTTATCTTGAATTTGTTTCTGTCTGTCCTTTTCTGCTCTTGATGCCATTTTCACTGAATATTCGTTGTGGGAAGATCAGATCTACAATGTTTCAGTTCAGGTACGTCAAAGAATCACCCTTCGTATAATCCCTACTGCCCCTAGAATATTCAATATGGCGAAAGCTTCTCGAGGATCACGTTACCTAGATGTATGTATAGTACGTGTACGTTGATTGTGCGAGTTGATAGGAACCGCAGTGTCCGTTCGTCCCTCCCATCCACGCCTTTCCGGTTTCATACATTCCAGCTGTCAGAACGCAACAGCCAGGAATTTAATTTCCTCTTAAAAGAAGATGGGATATTCTTTAAATATATATTAAGTGGGATATTGATATTGAAAAATGTATGAATAAAAATGCCATAAAGTGTACTATGCTACTTGTCCACATAATTGTCACGATAAAAACTAGAATTTTTTTTATTAATAAATTAGGAGGCAACGGAAGTGAGATCTATTCATTATGCCAATGTATCAAAATCATTTAACCAATAGACGAATGTGATGCGAAGGCTACCACAATCAAAAACACTAAAGCAAAAATTTTTAGACGAGTAAATTCAAAATTCTCATTATTTCTCAATAACAATTGCAATTTAATCTATTTTATACCCTTTCGTTCCACACTTTTATTTATTTATTATTTTATTTCGTAATTGCCAAGTGGTGTGTATCGGGGTGTAACTCAGTTCAACTAGCCCTGGGGAAAATCTTTTGTGGTGAGTGTTGAGACAATTGGGCCAGCCGGGCCAATGCAAGCAATCTCTGGATGGTGCGTTTTCTTGGGTTTTCTGTACGTTTCAGAATCATTCGCGACGACGAAAGAGTAGCATAGGGTGTAATTTCTAAAAGATCCGACAGAGAGCACTAAATCAGAAGCACAACCACAACCAGAATTGTTCTCGTTCTGTCCTGTACTTGTTTTGGCTTCGTGTGTGGAGGTGGTTTGTTGATGTGATATTGTGGAAGGCTAATAAGGTAATTAAGCAATAGTTGTGACAATATATTTATTTAGACATTGTTCCAAATTTTGCATTACTTTGTGTCAGGGCTTGCGCATCTCTTCTGTGTACTGTATAAGAGGGGGTTATAATACTGTTAGAAATTATTCTTTGCTGATCGTGACATTCGATATTAATTGGGTCTTACTGTACGTTGGTGCGTAACTTGTTAACATCTTTTTTACTTCCGAGTTATTTTAATGCTGTGTGACGAGCAATGCTGTGTTCAACTTTGGATTGACAAGCCCGCCACGACTAACGCATTTGTTCGTTTTTTTACAGTTTACAGAATACTCGCAGAAATCATACTTCAGCATGTCGGCGGAACAACAACAATTTTTTTTGAAATGGAACGACTTCCAGTCAAATATGGTTTCATCATTCAAACATTTGAGGGATGAAAAAAGTTTCACAGATGTTACCCTAGCTTGTGAAGGACAGACATGTAAAGCTCATAAAATGGTGTTATCAGCATGTAGCCCTTATTTCAAGTCCTTGTTGGAGGTAAGGTTGTAAGACATTTTACTCTGTATTATCAGTCATTATTATTGTCATAGTTTAATAGTTATTGTCATAGTGATTAAGAGTGTATTCAGAAATATAAGAAACTTTTTGGATTGTCTTCAAATAGCTAGCATTAATCTGACAAATTCCAATTTTTTTTTTTTTTTTTCAAATTAAAAGAACTAGAAGCTTTAAATATTGAAAGAAATGTTTTTGAAAATGACATTTCCAAATATTGAGAGAACACAAATTTTCCAAATAGGGTGCTGGGACAGTAAACTATAATAAGAATAGAAGAGGTAGATAATGCAGTACAAAGTAAATCACAGCTTTTGGAATTCAACATTTTATTTCCTGAGCAAAAGAAAAGCAAGTGAAGTGCAAGAGGTTATTATGGTTTGAACAAAATGTTTGGGGAAATGAAATGGTTCTAAAAAGTGAATAATCACCATCGTATTGACGTCTTTGAGGGATGAGGTCTCCTGCCAATATAATCTTGTACCATTTTGAGTTGGTGGGTTTGCAACTTTGTCCTCCTTTGAAGTTAAGCAACTGTCACTCTCTTTCTAAAGATCAAAAGATCTAATGTAATTCACCATTTTTGATTTCATAATAGCCTGTGAATCACCCAGCAATTTTGTTCTGGTTCAAAACAAATACCACTTGTCAGTTATAAGTAGCTTATTTTCCTTCCAGCCAAACATGGTGGGTGACACTTGGCATACATTTAGTAAGTAACGAAGTAATTTAGTACATGACCTTAGCACTGTTGGTTATGGTTGGTTCTCCTTGTACAAGGAAGTTTTACTCAGGAGGCTTCTTGAAACTTCATTCATTCATTAAACTAATAAAATACTTTATTACTGCAAAATTTATAGTCAAAAGTGCTATTTTATTACGTCTCTTTATTTGTATTTCCCAGTGGACAATTTATGCAAATGTTCTGTATAGTTTAAGTGAAAGATACTTCAGTTTCTGAAAAATTAAATGCAAATCACTGGTATCAAAAATGCAAACAAAACAAAAATATGTAATGAAGAATAAATTTGTAATGAAGGACATTCTGCAACTCGATATGGGAAATGTATCTAATGTTAATTATCAAATGATAATGTTATGTCCCAGCACCTGTTTTAAAGAACTGTCAAATCCTGGAAAAGATAAAATGCAGGTGTATCTTTAAAATGTGGCAACATCTGTTGCTAAAGATAAATTTTTATTTTTAGATATTACTAAATAAAGATGCAATTCTGTTAAATACAGTGTGAATAGTATCATGTCCACTAGTGTGAATTTTTATGTTAAAATTGAAATAAGAACATTTTCCTTAACAAAAATTATGAACTAAATTTTCCAAAATTTGTACCAGATGCACTTGTCATCTGGCTTGTTCTGATATGTTCTTTGTTAATTCAATGTTTTAGGAGTAAAAATAATTAAAATACTGCCCTTGTAATAAGTCCCCAGAACATAATACAGTTAAATATTTTCTGTTAGTGGCAACTTTGTTAATGTCTTTTTGTATTTGTTGTTGTAGGAAAATCCTTCCAAACATCCAATTATAATTTTGAAAGATGTTCCATACAGTCATTTACAGGCCATATTGGAATTTATGTATGCTGGAGAAGTAAATGTATCACAGGAACAATTACCAGCATTTTTGAAGACTGCTGAGAGGTTGAAAGTGAAAGGACTCACTGAAGCTCCACAGTCCATAAAACGTGAAGGATAGAAGTAAGTGTTAGGTTTTTTTGATTGAGTTGTACACCATTACCTGTTGGGGTTACTCCTAGTTTTGGAGAAAAATTGCTGATAGTTCAGGTTGGTACTTGCTATTGATATGAATAAGGGAAGCAGCCATTTAGCCTAATTTTTCTATAAAGTTAATGTGTGCTATGTTAGAAATATGTTTAAATAAATTTTCTAACTTTTTTCTAACAGTTTTTTTTAACCATTTGTTTTTTCTTCCTATTTGTGGGCCTGGTTTCTTACTGAAATTGAAGCAGCAGTTCTCATGTTGTGGAAATTTGATAGAATGCATTTTATTGGTATCCAAAACAAATTAATAGCCTAGCAAAATTAGCAACTCTTGAAATTGCTGATCTATGTAATCTGACATTACTTAGCAAACCCAAAGGCACTAAATGAACAGAAATATCTACCTGTTTTTAGATTTTTATAGCGTTGCGGGTAAAAAACGTAAACTAGTCAAGAAGTTGTAACCATCTAATGCAGTTTAATATACAAAATGTGCTTGCCAACTGACCAGTGTCAGGTTACCACTTAAAAGGGGATCTTTAAAAGTGACTAAAACATGGGGTTGGCACTTAATCAAAAAGGTGTGTTTCAGCAAGTTTCACTTCAAATAATGATTCCTTGTATTTGTATATGAACTTTTTTCATTGGTTTGCCTTCAGTATTCAAATACTTTCATTTGATTTATGGTACCACATTTATTACAATATAACACGTGGATTGTCTAGTTATGATACTTTCAAAATTTTCTTTGATATTATATTTTTCAGGTCCGACAAACGCTAATGAAGTTGTTGTGATTCCACAGTTATTGTGCTTTTGTTGAAAATGTTTTTAACATCAGTGAATAATTTCACAAATTTTGTAATTTGTCTATTTTTTTTAAATTCGTCACATAACAGGCAATGTTCACTCATACATAGTGCAAATATATTTTTTGATCAAAATTGTTAAGCCTTTGCACACACCAAAAATAAAATAGTTTTCTTTACTACTTGCTGAAACACACATTAAGCAATTCAGAATTTTTATTTTAGGGTATTTTTTCCCCTTGCTCTGAGTTATAAATTAATTCAAGAATTGCATCTTGGTAGTGAATTGTGTCACCTGCTAATTGTGTTCTTTTTGTATGTATTTTCAGATGTGCAGAGAGAATTTGAACAAAAATTTTGAATAAGTGCATTTTACATGTTACAAATAAGAGTTCACTTATTACACAACCTGATACTAAATAAGCAAAGTGACAGATGGAGACTCGCTACATCTTATAATTTGAATAGGAAAATCTTCAGTGTGAAGGTTTGTGCTGAAGTGTCAAGTGTTGGCAGTCTAGTGAAATTGCCAGATAATTCTGAAATGAGAAGATTAACTTCAAAAACTGGAGTGCTGTTTGGCCTGGGTTGAAAAATTGTATTAAATGATGTAACTCCTTCACATCATAAACGTCCGACTGATTGTCCTGTTAAACTGTGTATATATATATGAAGTTACCTCTCAACACATTTCAGTGTGTTGTGCATCAATGCATTTTGCTTAAAAGAGTAATAATTTAAAAGTGACTGGGCTTATACATTATTTTTTAGATCTGAAACCTCTTTTAAAAGGGGAAAGATTAATAAATTACAGGGTAAATATTTTACAAATTAAAAATGGATTGTTCTTTACAGAACAATTGAACTATTTATTTCAACATTTCACAGTAAGGTTTAAATAGATAGATTTTATCCCTAACAAAAGAATTATAAAAAAAAACTTTAAAACTTAATTTTTCAGTAATGCAACCATGTATCGAAAGCCTATTTTGACAAATATTTTAAACCGTTACATAATGATAATCATACCTTGAATGGTTGAAATATCCATTACGAAGAATTTTGTATTTAAGTTTGTAAATTCTTCAATAGTTCAAGCAATAGTTAATTAGTTATTTACGAAAATTAATTTTCATCAGTTATAGGGGGGGAATACAACATTAATAAGAATTTGTGAATATACTGTTTTTTGTTTTTTTAAGTTTATTTCTTACGAACAACTGTGCAAAGTGGTGAAGTAACAGATGTCAGTAGTTTGCCAGAATTGTATGCTTGAACTTGACAGTTTGTGTAACTGTGTATATAGGTGAATGACGAGTCGCAAACTGTTGCACGATTATTATTACTAAAGAAACTAGCAAGAATGTTGTATAATATAAAACTGTCAAGACAGCAGATACACAATAGTAGGATTATTTGATTGAAAACTTTCACCTCCGTTTTTGTAATATTGGACCTTTCAAAAGCTAAGTTACAGACAACATGTTTGTACAGCATTTTGATATTTCTTTCACATTATGGCTTGTCTAATAGGCATTGAGAGATTGAGATGTGGTTACCCAACTAGAACAGTATACTTTTTGTATGTGAAAAAAGACATTTTTATAATGAATAGCATTTTGTAACAATGTGTTGTGGAACAAAAAAAAAGACGTATTATTCATATTTAAATTTTTGTCATGCATCATCCCTTTGAGAAAGGGTCATTTTACTTTTGGAGTGTAATATGATTATTTTAAATTTTATTTTTTCATATTGCAAAATTATTTCAAGTTGCAGGAATCATTGCACTATGCACTATTCCATGTAATAAATCTTGAATTTAAATATTACTGATTATTTTAAATTTGTTTAGAAACCATATAAGTGGTGTATATTTTTTCTGTTGCCTTATATCTTAAATATATCAGAAATACTCATTAGCTAACTGACAACTGGTGATTGTCAACAGATGTTTCAGGAAGAATAATTTAAATCTATGCCTACTTCACATTCTGAAGAAGTATTAGACAAATGAAAATTGGCAAAATAATTATTTTATATGGTTAGAAATTGTGTACATCTTGTTTTCTTTGCATGATACCAGAAATTTCTTGGAAATTTTAATTGGCTGACATGACTGGTGATTAATAACTAATTTTTCAGAAGGAAAGTAATTTAAACTGATAAAATTTCTAGGCCCATTTCACATGTGGAAAAAATGATTTTTGCTAAGTTTGGCAACCTAATTATTTTTTGTGAAAATGGAGGTTACGAAAGCATTATAAAGTACTGTCTCAATGTTGAATGATAGTTTGATCCCAGTCAGTGTTTTGGTAATTTGGATTTCAGTACAAAATTCAATGCTATTCATATCTAAAAGAAGTAAATACACATGTTCAGAGTACAAAATATTCAATTTATTAAAATTTCATTCCAATGATTGGGTTAGCTTGTTCATTGAGGATCAACTAAAGTGGGATTATTTTATCTGTGTTGCGCTGTTTTTAATATTTACAACTTGTGGAAAGATGAGTGATTTTCAAGTTTAGAAATTAATAGCTAATATTTTAAACAATACCTGCTTTATTTCTTCTTATGAGGTTGAATTTGTACAAACTACCATCACCTGTTCATTGTACCACTGCTTAGAGGGAAAATGAGTGAATATTCTGAAGTGCTTAGTATGGTAGAAAATACTGAATGGAGAAAACTATTTGTGCCTCGAGTGAAATGGACTACCCATTAAAATTTGTAAATGTTGGTGTAATGTTTTTTAGATCGTTTTTTCTATACTGGAGACTGAAAATATACTTAAATATTCTTAAATGTGGAGTAGGTAAAATGACTGCTTCCTTTCATCCAGTTGATTTCTAAATAACTGGTGCTAATTTGTATTGTTTGTGAAGCGGCCAAACATGATTTTCCACTGTCTTATGTTATTCAAACTAAGCTTCTTTCATACTTCATTGTATGCTTTATGGTTGACTTTTTAGTATGTAATTTATGTGTTGTGGTTCTGAATGTTACTGTCATGTGTACATTGTGTGTAAAATTATAATTTTGTTATTTAAATTACAGAATAAAATATTCAGAAAATACTGTGAAGTGTGGTGCTGTAAAATCTTTTCAATTGTTACACTGAATGAATAATTACAACCAGATATTCCACGAGCAAAGTGGAACAATTAAGTTTATGTAGGAGCAATCAGAATTACATTCACAAATATGAGTAGAGGAAAAAAAACAGGCAGGGTAACTGAACTTGAGAACTTTGAAAACAGAAACAGGTTTTTGTCACCTTAAATTATTTTTTATTTTTTACCTATTTTCACACTTGAGTGTTAGCAAATCATAATATTGAAAACTGTCACTTCCTTTTTCCCTCTCCCACCCCTCTTTTGAGTAGAAGTTATGCCATCCCTTACATTATCACAAAGAATTTCTTTCAACAGAATTAGCTAGGAGTGGTTATTTTGATTTAGGAGTAAATGAATATTAAAAAAAAATGGGGCTTCAATTTAGCTGCAGCCTAGGGCAAGTTGCTTATGTTTACTGCCCCATGCATTTTAAAACAGAAGTTTTCCAAAGACTTAAGGGCCTCTATCATTTGTGTAAAGCATCAATTAATGTTGTAATTGCATGCACATTGAGCCACCAGTTCTATTAAACTCATCTTTTGCTCCTGAGATGGTATCAATGAGGCACTGATGAGAAATGCAAAAGAAAAATTGATATTTCATATTTTTGTATAGTTTTTGTGCATATTTAAAATGTATTTTACACTGTTAATCATAAAATCCAATAGGTATTACATTTATTTCTATCACCATCAACTCACACAGAGATATTATTTTAGACATTACTATCTTTGATTTGTTTCATGTGATTTTTTCACATTTGTCAAATGGGAGAGATGAGTATAACCTACCGTAGACCGCCAGTTGGACAGCCTAGCCCTACGAAGAAACAAAAGGTTTCCGGGTGTTTTCTTCCATCAATAGAGTTTTTGCAAACCACGTATTCGAATGATGGAACCCTTTCAATTTGTTATTTCAGAGAAATGAGATTTGGAATAAGTAGTACAAGAATGTGTAATAGTAATGCGTAGAACATCTGTGCCAGAGTTTGTAGATCTATGCTGCATCTTTCAAGACTCCCACCAAATTAGAATTGCAATTCGTGTCTCCACATGTGTGATAAGATTAGATAGAAATGTATTTATATATAAATGTAAATAAAATGGATAAGAAATTACTCAGTTTTTGCAGCTGGTATTACATGGTGTAATTACTGAATACCTGAATTTTGTGGTCAAATATATATTTGTAAAAGAAATGGAGTAGCTTGACCTCGTTGTGGGATACATGGTTTTTCTCAATTTCCGATATGTGACAGACAAAGATATCGTTCTTCATTTTAGGTTTATAATAATTATATTTAACATATATATTCAAATCTGTTGTAATATGTGATCGACCAATTTGTCAGATGACATGATACAAAAATTGTTATACATTGGTCAAAGTACAATCATTAATAAATTAGACCTGTAGTTAATCACATTGTTAACATTCATCTTAAAATGGCACAATATATTCTACATACTTATGTAGTTTGATAAATATTTGGACCAATTGTCTTAAATTGAAAAATAAATAAATCCTGGAGTGGTCTTATTTGAAACACAATATGAAATTGTGGGTTCCAAAGCTTTACAACAGAGTGTTGTAAATGCAATATAGTTCAGCAGAATTGCATTATTTATTTTAATTAGTCTTGATGTGGCACTGGACAAATGATTATGAATATACATTTTTCTTAATGTTTAGGAACTGCTATCCATGCCAATATATTAATTCTACAAGTCCATATTCTACATTCTATCCTAGAATAGCATTTATAGTAAGGGTATAGTGGAATAAGATCAAATCAGAAGTGGATATTATTATCTTATTCTACTCCCAAAATAAGCTTGAAAAACATTTTTTTATAATTAAGTTACCATAGTGACATAATATTGAAACGTATTTTTCTCGTTTTTGACAATGTATCTTGGCAGAATTTAGGTTTTCTTGACATGTAATGTAATACACTATTCTTTAGACAATTTTTTAAGATATACACTAATTTCTTATTATATTTAAGACCAACGCAAGGGACTATTTTAACTGAATATCTTACTTTTTTAAAGTTTATTTTTGGACTTTCCAGGCGAATGCTTGATTTAGGAACCAAATGACTATTTTCATTGGATTTCTCGTCCGAAAATACGTAAATAATCGGCTGATAGGTCAATTTCACTTTGTGGTCAACCCCTTTTTCGAATTTACAAACGCATCAGTTATAAATCATGGATCATTATTTTGTTTTGGTTTAATTGCAATGTCCCTAGATCAGTCTTAATTTTTCACTGACATATTTTCAACGGAAATACAAATAAAAAGAGCGACATGTATAGACAAACAAAGAAGCAGTTATTTCACAATGACGGTCTTTCTATGATCTAATGTATGCCTGATGCTGCACGAACGAGCGTTGCCAATGAAAGGGCAGAGCAAAGGCTCTTATTACTTTTTTTTTTTATTGAAAATGCGCTCTGGATCATCTAACAAAAATATTGCTACAATCTCTAACCTCCCTAATGAACAGTGTTTATCAAATATTTGTGATTATATTTTGAAATTTTGTTAAAAAGGCATTTTCATTTTGTATTAGCAAAGATTTGACTGAACATATTTTGTAATACATCGGCTGGAATTAACTTGTTTTGATATTTGATGGAACTTACATAAAACGTCAGAAAAGTACCAACAATGACTGCCAACGAAAAACATACGACAAAAAAGAATTTCATTGTGCAAGTCTCTTACTGTTTGCACTACTTTTAGATATGTTGTTGATTGTTGTGAGAAATAATGCGAGTTTAGAATGACTCAAAGGGTATCATTACCTTTATACGACCCGGCGCCATGTATGCATTTATCTGAGCTCCGGGTGACTCCCATAGAGTAGAGATATATCTCTCCTCTATGGTGACTCCGCGTCGAAGGTTGAGTTGCCGACATTTCGACCAACATCGCGGTCTTCTTCAGGGCCGTAGTGACCGCGATAAGTCCGATCACCTACGATATCGGTATATGCATTGTATATATGAGATATAAGTCTAAGAAGGAAAAAATCGAAGTGATTATGCCAGCAAAAAACAAACGGAGAGATCAACGTTTTTCGACACCTGAAGAAGCGGTTCAGAAAGCATATTTTGGAGATACCTCAGAGTGGCAAAAGGGCTTCGACAATTGGTTCAAACGCATGCAAGTGTATAGATCTTAGAGCTCGTAGCTAAGTGCTGGCAAACGAACCATATTTTCGAAACTAGCTCGTTTTTGTTTTGTATGAATTTTATTAACGGCAATTGGCACAATGTATAACTAATACAAAAACTCAAAAGCCCACTTGAAAGCAAAAACAGAACCTTGTACACGGGAGGTGAACATCCACTACGTATAAAATTGGGTACGTAGTATTTGATTATATTGTTTTAATTGATTTATATGAATTGCTTACATCTTATTATACATTAGTAGGGAGTTGATTTGATGACCTAAAACATTCTCAAAAATTCTCAATAAATGCTCTCAAAATCTTTAATAATGCTCTGAAAATAAAGAAAATGTACGTAAAAAATTATATCAAATCACTTCAGATGAATAACTCAAGCTCGTTGGTATGTTATTGATGTAATCGAGGCTTCTTCCTTTTGTTCATGTGAACTGAGCTTGCGAAATTCTGATTTGGACTGTTTAAAAGAAAATCTCGTGCCTTTATTTATCGCGACTGACAATGGCGCCGACAGTAGAACATTACATAGTACATACAACACCCCACACTACAATATATGAGCAAAGAACTCTAATAGGCTACTCAGGAATTCTGTGATGAACATTTGTTGCATCTCTTAAATATTTTTTGAAGCAAGTATCGTTAAAATCATATCAAAAGCAATGAAATCAGCGAAAAAATGCATGAAAAATGACGTACAAAGGTAAAAAATAACTTATTAGTCGATGGTGGCATTGACCGCCAATTTGATTCAAATTTGGCGAAAAGTTTCGAACAGCGCAGTTTCGCTGCTCTTTGAAGGCATTTCAGAGGAAAGGATCATTCATTTCAAACATCCCGCCTAGGAAACCGCGCGAATTTCTTCCCAGTTGACCAAATACTCATTTCTTTCGTACAAAATTCTTTGACGTAGATTGTCAACTGCTTCCTATTAGTTCGGAGCGTCTCCGAAAGACCACATTACCTCCTGGGCAGCCGCACGTGCAACATGCGCGCATGTCAAAGTTCTCGGAAGCAAACTTTCCAATTTAGACGCCACGAGCTCGCATTGTCAGAGGCGAAGTGCAGAGCAGTTTGCCGTGAACGAAAGCTACGTAAAATTGTTAGACGCATTCCAAGTTCGATTAGGCTGACAGGCAATTCTCAGCATCCTGCAGTCTAAAGAACCATTCACATTGCAAACATGAACATAAGCATGACGTTAACATAAAATTTAGAACTGCGCCCATAAGCGGGCTCATGTTTACGCGAACGCATTGTGAATAACACGTAAGACGTTAAAAGCTTGCAAGTTTCAAGCATCTGTGCTTATGCCTAAGTAAGAAATAAGAAATTAACCAATCACAGAACGGTAACTCAAAATTGAGAATCGAAGTTGGAGTGAAGTCGATAGAAGAACTAACGCCATATGGGCCATGGACACAGTCGATACATTGAAATCGATTTTCACAACCAAACACTAGTAAACCAGAATGTCTCACAGCCAATAGAAACCCTTATTTTGCTTACGCTTATGTTAGACATTGTGAATGTTTATGTCTATGCGCTATGCTTGTTTGCATTTGCATTGTGAATGGGCCTTAACGTACAGTAAAAACGACGAAATGCGTAACGAAAAATTTAATTTCGTCTGGACAGAGGTAACCATGACGATCTCTTCAATACTCTATTATTTCTCCAAAGGAACAATCTTTGCCAATTGTGTGTCGTTTCTTTCCCAGAACACTCTTGTCTGATGAAAATTATCGATAGAAAAGGCGATGTTCGTTGCAGTTTCTGCTAATGCTCTCCCAACCTATCTAACGAATATTTCGCAGCCTCAACAGTCGAAATCGACGAAAAATGCAAAGGCATAAAAATGGGTCATTTCGTTTCGTCATTAAGTAAAATGAATTTCTATACTAAACGTCACTGTTCTAAAATGAAAAAAGACATTTCATTAAAATCCGTCTTCCTATACATCAGTGTTTGGAAATTATATTTCATTCGATGGAGCTGCAACTCCCAGTTCATAGGGACTCCACCTGCATCTTGATTGGGAGCATGGAGCCATTGTGTTTACGAGGAAGAGGGCAACTAAGCTTAACTTAGTGCTGGCACAGAGGCAGATTATAGTGCGGTCTTTCTCGGTTGTGCCGCTAGATGTCGCATGATCACGGCACGATCGAGAAAGATACGAAATAGTGGTGAAATAGGGGATTGAGGGCCAGAATTATAAAAATAAAATAAAATTTAAAAAAACGCACTATAGGCGTTGACATCAATTCCGTGATTTTCCGTGCTTTATACTGGCCAGCTTTCTTTGCCCATCTTCAGTTGACAAACGACGCACAAAATTCGCAAGAGCCCGGTCGGAGCAAAATCAATCTGCGCAATGTTAGATATTTCTTGCTACACGACGCATCTTGCTTCAAGAGGTACGTTGGTAATGCTCTTGCATTCTCGGACATAAAATACAATAAATTGTTCCAAATTTATTTACACATTATCAGTTTCATAATGCTTGATGTTGAAGTTAACAAATAAATGACAGAACCTACAAAGAAATAATGCTCTTACATGACACACAAAAATTGATGGATTAATAAAAGTTTCCTATGATTGACATCAAACACTGTTCTTTAATTTGTCAGATAAGGAGCAATGTGTTTTTTATAAAAAGTTTGGGAATGCTTATTGCCTCTTATGAATGGCTTGGAATTAGACAAAATACTGGGGCTTTTTAACTGTAATGCCGTACTCTGCAAGTGCAGGAGTAATATCTTCTAATGTAAGTGTAAATCGGCGATCTTTCCCTTTTGTCTTGGTATTCTGTGCTGCACCTCGTGTCTTGCAATGCTGAAGTGCATCATTAGCAACATCCGATATAAACTTCTGGGCGGCAAGCGATACCAGTCGAATTCTAGAAAAATAAATTGTTGCATAGGCAGATCACGTAAAGAAATGATTCAAAGCCTACTACAATGACAGTTGAGTTATTTTTTCAGGACTAATAAAACACAATTTTAATTTATATACTCACATTCTAGGATCTGCTGTGTTAAAGCCAGCTGTTTGCAAGTAGTAACTAGTCACAGCATCAGGAATCTAAAAAAAAAAATCAAATTCAAACACATTCAAAGGCATACTAGCAAGGTGTTTTCGCCAAAAGACACTTACAGTTGGAGTATAATCCTCGAGTTGCATCAAAAAATCAGACAAAGGTTGTCCTGCTGTCCTAGATTCACTAATCATTGTTTCTGATGTTTCCTGAACCCCAGAATCATCTCCATCGGCACATTCCATGCCATCATCGTTCCTGTAGACATAATTTCAAAAAATGAGATCCTGAGCTGTCACTACAGGCGAAAGAGGGGAGGGGGTAATGGAGAGAAAGAGAGAAGGCTACTTCTCCACCATTACTGGGGACCCCAAAGTGCGCTTGATAAAAAGTACTCCCAACATATGACAATACACTCACAGAATTCTGAGCAGAATGTACGCCAGTACATTCGCCAGTGCTGCGGTAAACATCTTCCTCACACACATTTCTTGTGTTAATGTATAATAATTAAAATAACATAATAACAAAAATATATTTTTACTTCACTGGAAACTATCAATTACACTGAGCAAAAAATAATGGTCACACACGTTAATTATTCTCATTAAACATTTATGTGTAACAAAAATTGAACTGAAACCTTCAAGCCCTTCACCAATTCAAGACCTGCGGCTTTTTAAAACATATTTTAAGATTGTAAATAACCTCATTGTAAACAAATTCTTTCTGATTTTTTCCCGTAAACTTTCAATCACATTATTCTTGTTTCTGAGGCTTTGAATAAATGCCAAAACAAACAGAAATGTTTCACGAAAATTGAAAGTGGGTAATCATTTTGAAAACTCGTGTCAAACGGTAATATCAAGAAAAAAAGGGATTTTATTTTAGATGATAACAGGCATTCACCCAATAACAAGTTTTACAATGGACGAAGTTATATAAGGAAAAATGTATATTTGTAAAGAGTTAGAAAAGTAAATTATCAATTACGACAAATGATTTTTTGGGAACAGAAAAGTTGGAATGTACATCTAAATAGAAAAGTCAAGTTGGTGGTAATCATGAAAATTATATATTAAGTTAAAAACATGGTTTGGATGGATAAATCACGTTGCGTACAGTTTATCTAATGATTAACATATGCGCCGTATTGGAGCTAGAAACCATAAATTCCATGTTCGGGGTTTAAAGTAGGTTGCAGTATTAACATTCCGAACATAGTATGATGGAACAATCCATGATGTGTATATATGAAGAGGAAAAAAAAAAAAATCAGTTATCAATTTTTTGCTCTCTCGCAACCAACTTTCGTAGTTAGTAGTATAATGCTGCGGCAAACTGCAATTTTTCGACAGAAGGACCACACCAGATTGTTGAGGGGCCCTGACACCGCAAACAGTGGATACTTCCTTTCCCTACATGTAGTAAATCTAACACGTTCAGTACTCAGAATTCTTGTAGGTCCTTCATACCGACAAATTGGCTCCAGAAAACTGTCTTTCTGACGGTTATTTGTGCACCACTAGCCTAAACAGACATCCGTCAAGCTGGCATCCCCACTTCTCAGAAATTCACAATCAACTAGCCTATACATTTCTACCAAATTAAAGTTCTCAATTATAAACAATTGAAAATGGGGGTAACAAGACAAAAAGAGTGGGGAATCGCATTTACGTACGTCGCCTACAATATAAAAAATAACTTTGTGGTAGATATTTCAAAATAATTACATTTGTGTAATTTTCAGGAAACATGTTTAAATTACAAACACATGATTTTTGAAAAGTCAAAATTTTAATCAAAACGCCGCTCACACTACGAGTTTCAGAGCATTTACCTGTATGCGTCCCAAACAAGTTAAGAAAAATTAGTGGGGCTTGAATATCACATAATTTTCTCATGATTTATAATGGCTACGCAACACTACAATACTTCTTGAACCGACTAAAGTGTTTACAGCCAGCTATTTGTTCAAAATTGAAAATGTGAGAATTCAAAAAGCTGACATCTCAAGAGCTTCAAGTTTCTGATCGATCTGCTCGCATGAATTATTGTAATTGGCTATGACGATTTGTTAGCGAATGTATGAGGCATTTAACTTTTATTTTGTGATGCGGCTTGGTTTCATCTAGATGGTTAAGTTAACCAACAAAACAGTAGACTGGGCTACTGAGAGACCACAGGCTCAGTAACGAGACCACTGCTTTAAAAAAAGATTGGAGTATGGTGTACCATTTCTTGTCGCAGAATAATTGATTGGTCCGTTGTTTTTTAAAGAAACAATGACGGCTGATACATATCAAAATATATTGTGAAATTTTGTATCCCTTCTAGAAAAGGATGAAAGAAATTGTTGGTTTCAACAGGATGGGGCGACATCACATACTGCTCAGTCGACAATGCAATTTCTGGAAGAGTTTTTTGGGAGCCGCATAATTTCACGAGATTTGTGGTTCCCTCGTTCACCTGATTTGTCACTACCGGATTCTTCTGTGGGATTGCCTCAAAAGTAAAGTTTATGCAAACCTGCTAGTCTTGAAGATCTCTAAAGAAACTTCGAGGAAGCAATTCGCAACACTGACGAACAAAGCTTTACATCGGGTTGCAGCAAATGTTCTCAAGCGAGTTAATGCTTGTTTGGTAGAAATGGAAGAAATTTGAACATTTTTTGTGAGCTTTGCTTGTTTCCGTCACCCATGTATTATTCACAATTTCCTTGTCATCATTCATAATAAAAATTTTCTTTTTCTACTTTACACATTACCACATTAGTTTAGTTTTGTTGCAGGGAATTTCCAAAAATATAAATAAATGGGGGAAGTGCATCGTTAACCAGTGGGGGATGTATCGTTAACCAGTGACCAGGGTTGAGCAAAATACTTCCATAAACGTATTTTAGATACTAAATACACAACATTTCCATAAAAGTACTTTAATAGAGCATTTTAAAAAAACTTTTGCAAATACAAAATACAACAGCATTTTATACATCATAACTTTTGCCCTACTCTTTTTCTTTTAAACAGTAATTCACATTCAATAAAAGATCAACACATTACATTTAAAATTGTATAATTAAACACACATATAACATTATTTATTCAACGTATTTCAGGTTATGTTTTCATTCCATCTTCAGGCATCTATATCATTTGTGACATATTCATATTTTAGGTCTGAAAGGTATCTTGGTTAATTGACCACTTCATGCACCTCAGAACTTCACGTACTACAAAAGTTTCAAATACACACGACACCATGCACTTAAAATTGACAATACATGCACTGAAAATAGACAATATAAGCGCTTAAATCTAAGAATATGCGTTAAACAAAAGTATTGTTAGCAATAGATATTTATATTTTCATTTTCACACTATAATACAAAACGTCTATAATAAAATTATATTTTCAAACATGATAAAAAATATAAGCGAGAGAACCAATAGCATTGTAACAAGATGCCGTAATATTAAGCCCACTTCACTAAGTTCTTGCGCACGAACTAAGTTCAGGAAGTAGATCGATTCTAGCAAAAACGATCCTGTCAGAAGAATTTCGAAAATATTATGTTAGTATTCTAGCATTGGCATGGCTTAATTCACTATTCTGTAAAAAGAGAAATATACGAAAATATCTGACTTCCACCCACTTCCATAGAAAAACCTGGGATATCTGCACTTAAATATGCAGTTAAAGAAAAAAATCTCAGAAATATGCAAAATAAGAATGGGTTCCTTTTGTTTTATTTCTGGAGATAGGTTAAATTATATAAATTTTCTTTCGATGCGCGCAGTCAGTAAAAATATGCAACAGCATGATGTTCTGCGGTCTACTTATGACACGTTCAGATATTTAATCGTTCCTTTTCTTTCTTTAGTAAATACTACTTAGAGGGAGAATGAGGGAAGATCTACAATGTTATATTTAGGGGACAGATTTTGATAACCTAAAACATTGCCAAAATGATCAATAAAATGCAAAATGACCTAAAAACAAAGAAAAATGTAAAAAAAAATCGATCAAAACCACTTCAGATTAACACCGCAAGCTGTTGCATAAGCTACTGATGTATTCGAGGCTTCTTCCTTTTGTTCAAGTTAACTCAGCTTGCAAACTATTGGTTTGGACTGTTCTTTACAAGAAACTCTCTGCCTTTATCGCGGGTGGCCCAAATGACAATGGCGACGATAGGCGACACAGGAACCCTAGATTACATAATACTCACAACGGCTGACATTACATGACCGAACAAATCGCAAAGGCAACTCAGGAATTCTGTGGTAAACATTTGTTGTATCTAGTAAATATTGTTTGAAAAAATAACGAAAACAAAACAAAAAACCTCTCTAAACCGGACCCGGAAACCTGCCTTAATCGGAACCTCTCCAAAGCAGAAATATTGTAATTTTTGAGAAAAACACAACAGCAAAAGAATATGGAGTTTATGACATCTTATAATGTGCAGTTAGTACTAACCCTACCAAAAGTTTAAAGAAAAAAATGGAGCCGTTTTTGAGAAAATCTTGTTTTTGTAATTTTTAAAAAAATGCACATATTTCACGCAATATTGCGCGACGACTAATGTTCAATAAATGTACATGACCTTAATGAACTCACTATGGAATACAAGTTTTATTTGAAGGGAAAATCTGTATCTTTAATTTTGTAGTTGTAGTAAGAGACCTAAAAAAATTCATACTTTGCAATTTTCGAAACTTTAGAGATGACCGTGATAATCAGCCCTAAGCCACGTTTATAAGTGTATGTTACTCTATTCTTACAATTAAAAGAAAAAAATTGGAGTGTTTTTTGAGAAAATTTTGAAAATGTCTGAAGGGCTTTTATTCGGGGCCACAATGTAAAAAGTATAGTCAACACACGTAGCGTTAGTACCCTTAGTAACCAATAGAGAAAAACCTGCCTTTGTTATTTAATTTTATGAAATTACATCTGTTATAAAAGCTAAATGAATTGCTTATATTTATTGATTGGTTACATAAACTATTGAAGCGGAAAAAATCGTTCTTTAAGATGCAGATGTTAATCTTTTATTACATCAACTATCGCAATATATCAGAGAAACCTTCAAGGAATTCATATTTCTTAGAATTGCAAAACCTTCAGCCTAAAAATAGGCCGTTTTACCCTGGCACGCCCGCCATGCGGTCCGAACGTTAGGCCACTGACTAATAAGCACAAGAAGTATGTTAGAAAATTGTTTTAGTTGTAACTTGTACGAACTCGCACTATAG